TCTCTGCCACCTACCCCCAGCCCAGATTCAGCCATGGCCCCCCTGCCCCTCCACTGCCTTTGTCTCCCTTTGAAGGCCTTGCTCCCCCAGCTGTCCACCCCCTGGCAGAAAACGGTCCCCCAATCATCTTTTTTTCCCATCACCTTCCACTTGGCAGCCTCTTCCCCCTCCCCCCACACCTGTCTCAACACTTCCAGGCATGGCAGCTCAGACCAAGTCCCAGAACTAAGGCTGCCACTGCTACCCTGCCAAAGCTGCTACAGGGCTAAGCTGGGGCTGGAGCAAACAAATGCTCTGTGCCCCATGCTGGAGTGGGAATGAAGTCTGCTAAAGCCAGAGCAAGAGTAAGCAGAGGGGGAAGCAAAGATGGCATGGAGGAAGACAAGGGGAGGAGGGACCCAAGGCATAGGGCAGCCAAGTGATGGGGACACACAGGTGATAGGTGGCAAGATGTGAGGGGGTCAAAGGGCAGGTATAAAGGCCAAATGCCTGTCCCTGTACTGCCCCCTCTACCACCTACCCCTCACCATCTCCTCTACTACCTATCTCCCCACTGCCTCCTCTGCCACCTGCTCCACCCTCACCTTCCCTACTGCCTACCCCACCACTGTCATCCACCACACCACTTCCCCATGTCCTCTCTACTGCCTGTCCCCTACTGCTCCCAGATTGCCTATTCCCCACCACCTGCCTGTCCTCATCCCCCACTGTAGCAATGGAGGGGATAAATTTAAGATGACTCTCCAAAATTAGACTCTATACATATATAGATTCTATATATTAGCTATATAAAAAATAAATTTATATTTTTCTAGCAATATATGCATCTAATTATTGAAGGATCATCTTAAGTTCAGAGTCGTCTTGTATTTGGGTAAATATCTCATTATTTAAAAATATGTATTAATCTACATACATGTAAATTAATATAAGACTTATGCATGGTAAATCCTGCCAATTTTGATGGTTTTCATTTATTACATTTTAGAGAAACTGACTTAGATACCGTTGCACTTGCTGTAGCAGTGCTAACTAAGCAAAAACTGTGGTCCACTGTTAAACAGTGCACTAAGTTCAGCAATTCAACTGCACCTGCTAAGAGACATAAATTAAGCAATTAAAACCATAGCTATAAAAAGACAGTAATATACATACCAGATCCACAGCCATATGTGTAATTCAAATGACAATTTTCATTAAAGTTCTTTGTCCATTTTAAGGTCACAGAGATATTAGTTGTATCTTGAACCTCAAGTTCATTTTCTTTTGTATCTTTAATGATGGGAACAATATAACACATTTAGTTCATACTTACTTTTAATATGTTTTGAAATACTTTTAATTTTCAATATCCACATATATGATTATATTTGATAATAAAAATATGCAAGACAAAAGGCATGTTTTAAAGTAATTTGTAACATGCCATTTATTAAATGAGTTCTTCAAAAAAATCAATTAAAAAAACCCTTGTATCTTATTTCTAGACATCTGGTAACCCATACAATTCTAGGGGTAAGTTTTAAGTGTAAAAATGGCCTTACTTGCACAGCTGCACAAGGAAACAAAGCACACAGTGGTAGTTTATTCTGTGGATCAGAGGGTCTCAAACTGTGGTCCACAGACCACCACTGGTCCATGAGCTCCATTCAGCTGGTCCACAGAAAAGTTGTGGAACAATCAAAAATATCTGTACTTGTAAGATAAGACTACTGATATTAAAAATATGAGTTGTGTGCTTTGATTCGTAGAACAAAAAAAAAAGTTTATTAAGTGGTCCGCCAAGACCCTCAGCAATTTTCAAGTGGTCCACGGAAAAAAAAAGTTCAAGAACCACTACTGCAGACTACCAATTTTGTAAACTGTAGTGTTGAAAGTGTAAAAGATTTCACAGCTGAGGTCCTACCCCATGTAGATGGCTGAGACAGGACAGGACAAGTGATGCAGTTCAACTTCTACAATTCTCTCCCCCAATAAGGACTCTCTGACAGATAATGACCTCACAGGGTTTACTCTCATCATTAACAAGCCTCTGTTTTGTTGTCTTTAGTTATTTGGCTGCTGTACTTACCTACATTTTAAAAACTTGGCCTCAAGCTTTACAGCAGATAGTAGGCCTGATTATAAGACTTTACCTCTAGATCTGTGCCTACAAGTGCAAAAGTCAAACTTTCAGCACCCAGTAGCTCATAGGAACCTTACCACTGGAAGATTTTTTAAATGCCGCGTCCTACTCATATTCATATTTTTTCTGAATAAAGCCTTATAAAATTAATAAAACTGTACTTACTAGGTGGAACAGAAAATGAAAGATTTCTATTGCATCCATCCTTAAATTCCAGGTAAATGTTATATTCTTGACATTCTGTGAGGTTTTCAATAGAGGAACAGTTTGCTATATTACACTCAGGTTTACAGAAGCAATTTTTCAATATCAATCCAGAAATGTTCAATGTTGCCTTGACTGAGTCCTTTAAGTACTCGTAAGGACCCACTGAAGCGATCATTTTTCCTGAAAGAGAGAGAGAAAATATTAAAATTACTAGTGCCTTCTTTTATTCTTGTACTTTCACATTCTTATGTTCACTTTAGCTATAAAGAACTCATTCTTTTGGATATATTTAGTATTGTGGAATGCAAATTTATTTAGGGGAACCCATTCATTAGGCCTTAAACTTCACTTTTTGGGGGACAACTAGAGGAAGCCAGGTTGAGTAACAAAAAGGCCTTGTGCCCTACTTTGGCCTTTTAACAACATAGCTCTAGTGGAGCTGAAACTGGTTGGCTTAAAAATATAATAATAAATAAATAAAGCAGGATAATGTTTTGCATTTCTGCTTACAGATTATGAGCCTACCACTTTTGCACAGATTAGTCCTTCACTCTCACAGACCCCATTACATGCTATAGGAGAGAGACATGCTATCATAAAGGAGCAGATACCCAATTTATGCATAGGAAGATTCCTCAGATTTGTTCTGGGAAATATACTCTGGCCCCCAGTTATAATATTAATTAATACAGTGTTCACTAACCAATGTTGGTGCTGGTGTGGGCTACAAGCACAATATGGCAACACTGATACTAAATTTGAGTTACCATTTGCTAGTTGTTCAGAAAAAACAACAAAACTCTTTTCAGATTGGGACACGGGGAATGAAGACCCTTCAGGTATTCAATGGGAAGGAGACAGTAGTAAAATTTTCCAAGCAGAAAATATTCAGAATAGGCCAAGGCTGGTCAGATGGGTCTTTTGGAATGATGGCATTGGAGGGAACAGGCATTTTTGGGTGTTGATGCCGTAAAAAAATCAATTGGATTATAGATTTTAGTCAACAGGACTATTCTATGTTAAGAACTATGGCAGACCCTTTTGGGATTCTCCAGGGAAATGGAACACAGGATGGGAAGGAGCCCCATAGCTAATCTCTGGTAGACACCAGTGTGCTGCATTAAAGGCTGTGGGATGTTCAGGAATAGCTGAACATTTTCCTCAGGTGTGGGCAAAACAAACGTGTGTGGAAAAATTGAGGCTGAGGTAGTAATTGAGGACCCTGATTCACTGCCTCAAAGACAATACCAATACTCAGTAGAGGTAGGAAGCAGCATCTGGGAAACTATAAAAGCACTACTAGATCAGGGAGTCATAGTGGAACAACAAAGTTTAAATAACTCACTCATTTAGCTTCTACTGAAAGCAGATGGAAAGATGCAAATTACTGGGCTCTTAATAAAGTGTCTCCCGTGACTGTGCCTGTGGTAGCAAAATATCCAGAGCCAATGGCTGTAATAGCAGAAGGCTCCAAATGATTTTCAGAATTAAATATGTCCAGTTTCGCAGTTCCCTCCATTCCGACTCATAGTATAAATTTGCCTTTATCTTTTGAAGAAAACAGTATAAGTTTAACTGGGTCCCACAGGAGTTCCATAATGCCCCAGCTATGTCACACCCACATAATGAGAATGTACGACAAATTGGCAGACTAAAGAAGAAAACTTGGAAGTACCAGAGGAAGTTTTGAAGCTTGTACACAGGACTGAGTTTAAGATAAGCCTGGCGTAGGCATAACTGGGCCTTTAACAGATATCATTCCTAGGAATAATGCTAGGTCAAGAAGGGAGAAGCACAGATAATCAAAGAGTGGAGCATATTCAGAAACTGCCAGCCCCAACAGATGTTACGACCTTAAGGCCTTTTTGGGCCTGACTAGACTTTTCCAGGACTTTATTGAGGGATATACCAAAAAGGCAACACTGCTATACAAGTAGTTAAGGAAAGATGCCCATGGGACTGGGAACCAGAACAGAATGAGGCAGTCAAAACCCTGAAGGAAAGTCTAAGGCAGGCTCCAGCACTGGTCTAACCCCGTATGGAAAAAACATATGTTTTACAGTTAGCCACAACTGCTACAAGGCTGGATCAGTGTTAAGCCAGAATCACAGTACTGATCTGACCAGTAGGTTAAGCCTCTAGAATATTGACCACAGTGGAATAGGATTTTACTATCTGTGAAAGGGAAGTGCTAATCTTAGTGTGGGCTATGCAGCACTGGGAGTACTTGGTGGGTCTCTCCCTTGACATTGAAAACCACCCATACCCCAGTGAAGTATGTGTTATCTGGAAAGGCTAATCATGGCCCTGTGTCTAACCCTCAACTGGCAAGATAGATGCTGGCATTGTTAAACAAAGAGAATTGTAGAGAAACAGACAGGTTTATCCCCAGTAGCTTACAGTCTAGTAGTGGTAGGGGAAGGAGAACATGAATGTTGCCCCACAACCAGGGTCTGCACTTTTCTTGGCTGACATAACTTTAGAAGAGACCATGGCTGGGGATGATGAGTTATGGTTTACGGATGCATCCATTTATTATGAAAAGGACACCCCATATACAGGGTATGCTGCCATGAATATAATAATTGCCAAGATTGTAGCAGTGGCAGTAGCCTTGGAGAACACTTCATCTGGAAAACTCATGGCTGTTTTATCAGAGTTGGACTGGGTGGTCCAGGCTGCAATAGACTGGCTATCCATTTGGAGGGTGAGGAATATGAAAACAGTATATGGTAAACTGGTAACACATGCTGGGAAGCTGCTTTACCTAGCCAGATTGGCAGCACAGCCGTAGCAGCCAGTCTACAATATCAAGGTTAAAGTGAATAAGCAGGTCTAATGAGCCAGGGGGCTCCTGTTACTTTAAGAAAGTGCAGCACGCTAAGCTGGCTGTGTGAGGCTGCAGCAGCAGGAGCACAGGCTGGCCCTTAATGAAGAGAAGAAACTCCTGTGTGTGGCTGGGGAGCCCATGGTAGGAAGGGAACAGGGCGTCAAAGCATATAAGCCCAGAACCTGAGCCAGGGCAGGTAGTCAGACCCTGCATGCTTCAGGGAGAGGAGCTCCCCAGGAAACCTGGATGCAGGAAGCAAGCCCATGGACACCCAAGCTACCCATGAAAGCAAGAGTGAGCCTGTCACTGGGAAGAATGGTTGGGTATTAACCCTGAGCAGAGAAAAACATTGTGGAAGCAGTTTGATTATATTTTTGTTGTGCTGGTGTTTGTTTGTTTAGGACTGAAGGATTTGGATGGTTTGGAGGCCACAGGGGTCCCTGAGAAACACCCAGTAGAGAGTTCCCTAGCAAGGGTCAGGGAATAGGGACCAGGGGCCTAGAAGCATGGGACAGAGGCCAGAGCCCAGAAGCCCATGAGCATGAGACAGGTATCAGGCTCAGAAGCTGAGGTCCAGGACAGTGGACCTTGCAATAGGGGGCCTAGCTGGAGGAAAAGGGCTTAAGTCAGAAAGGCGGAAGCCCCAACAAAGGTTCAAGGCTTGAGAGGCTGAGTTCAGTGTCAGGGCCAAGACACCTCCCCCCCCCCCCCCCCACCACCCCAAAACCCCCCCCCAACAGGGCCAAGACACCTCCCCCCCCCCCACACACACACTAAACACTCACCGACATCTGTAAAGTATGGTGTGACTATGGGGGCAGCTGAAGGGCACTATTATTGCCCCTAAGGCACAACTGGGGTTATCTTAAAGTGGAAACCCACCCCGTAGATTTTAGGGCAAAGGAGTCCTGAGGTTTGGGGCAGAGAAGCCTGGATAACTGTACACCAAGGAAAGGCACCCAGGAAGAGACCACCCTGGTCTCTGGAGGCAGCCTCCCAAGTTAAAAGACCCCCAAAAAATCAAGCCATGGCAGGAAAGAGATAGGAGGTAAATGGAACCTTGGGATGTGTGGGCAGGCAGATCTGACCACTAGGGGGCATCAGATGCCAGGGGGATTGCCTGAGCCTGTCACAGCAGGGAACAGAAGAGGTTAGATGGAACAATCAGGTGGACCTGGAGGCCAAAGTTGCACCCAAGGAGGGGAGCCCATGGGAAAAAGAAGCCAATGAGGTGGTAATGGTTGTCCAAAGAAAAGGTGTAGACTTGGCCTCCTTGCAATAGGAAGATGATAGTCTCCAGGAATTAGTAGATGAGGGAGAGTACTGGGAATGGAAAATATGGGCAGATCCCTCTGGGCTCATGCTTGTACAGAAAGAAGGAGGGGACTTCCTTGTTTGGGTGGTGCCAAGATACATCAGGACAGAATTGGTTGCTTTGTCTCATGACCAGAGCCACCTTGGGATACATAAGACTTTAGCCTGAGTACAAGCCACAGGGTAGTCATCCAAAATGAGAAAAGATGTCAAAGTATGTAAGTAATTGCTTACCCTGTGCTGCTAACAAACCCAAAAATACTGAAAAGTAGTGAAAGGGCCACTAGGACACAAACATGTAAGCAGACCCTGAAGTAGGTTATAGATTGACTACATCAGCCCTTTACCTTAAAATGCTGAAGGTAATAAGTACTGCTTGGTTAACATGGATAGTCTCATGAAGTAGATAGAAGCTGTCCCCTCAAGGAATAACACTGCCAATACCACAGCGAGTGTGCTGGTGGAGCAAGTCGTTTCCAGGTGGGGAATGCCTAAAGAAACAGATGCAGACCGAAGACCTCATTTCATAGGAGAAGTTACCAAAGGAGTGTGCCAGGCATTTGGGATCAAGCAATGGTTACACACAGCAAGACACCACTAAAGTTCAGGGCAAATAGAAAAAACTAAACTCACTGTAACAGGGGGCCTTCCTGTGGCCAGTCGGCCATTGGCCTGCTCACCTATTTCCGGGCCAACCGCCCACCTCACCTTGTTGTTTCTTAATTGGTTCTAATTAGGCGGGAGGCTGCCCATTCTTGCCCCGATGCCAGGGGGCACTATCTGTGGCTCCATTCCTCCCCTACACTGCAGCCCAATGTTTCCAGCCTACAAGCAGACCAAGCTTAGCCCTTGTTGTCAGGCCTCATAAACACACACATTCATACTGCCTTCCTCTCACTAGGGTCTCTCACACTCCACCCCCTTTCACAGGATCTCTTTCATGCATCAACAACTTGTACCGCCTTGCTTCCTCTCGGAGCCGGCCCCTTCGGCCATAGGCTTTATGTAGCGCACACCTTGGGTGGCAGATATACCATCTTTTGGGCCTCTCCCATGACCTTCACTAGGACAGTGGCCAGCCAATTACCTGACCGGGGCCAAGTTTGCCCTGGCTCCTCCCGGGGGCAACTCTATACAAACTCACACACACACACCGGGCTCCCAGCCCTCTGGTTTCCCCCTCACTGGGGCTCCACACCTGCCCCCTCACTGGGGGCCTGCCCTTACTGGACCTCCACATCTTCCACCCCCTCAGTGGAGCTATGGGGCTTCCCTCCCCGGCGGGGGCTCAGGTGGCAATAGCCGTGCCTGGCCCCAACTGCTACCCACAGTGATGTGGTGGCTAAGGGTTACTGAGGCACCCTGACCCGCCTTCTACCAGGGTGTTAACTGGTCTGGTATTTTCCTGGAGGCTCCCGCGCCACTGGGAGCCCCACCAGGCCATCCAGTCCTTGCAGAGTGCAGTTTTAGGTCATGCCCAGGACCAAGAGTCTCCTGCCCCTACCTAAAGATGTTCTCATACATCAGCTCAGCCAGGCGATGTTTCTGCCTGGCCTTCCAGCAGCAATCTGCTCTGTTTATAGGCAGATGGTGTCTCAAAATGGCTGCTGAGATCAAACACCTGCTGGCTGTTTGGCTCAGCCCTTAAAGTGGCAGGCACCAACAGTGCCCTGCCACACACACTTTGACAACCACCTTGAGAAAGGTGGTAAATCAACAACGGAAGGATTGGAACCAGAAGTTTCCCTTAGCATTAATGACCTTATGGGGAGCAGTTGCATTCCATAGCATTATACCCCATAAAGCCATGATGGTAAGAGACATGAGATTACCAAAACAATGATGGCTAGGAGGGGAGCCCCTTGATGAAATGAAGGCCAGAGTATTGACTGATCAGTGGGTCCAAAACTCACTGATGGCTGTATCAGTCACTCAAGGACAAGTAGTCATAGCCTTGAAAGCTAATGTCCAAAGAATGGACAAAGAGCTAGGGCCAATCCTACACCTGGTCGAAGGGAGCGTTAGCAACCAAGTGATGTATAGAGGGATTAAGGCAAAAAAATCATGCTTTAGGTTCACCATGGATGGGTCCCATTCACATCATAAATAAGGCCAGCACGATGGTACATCAGATAGAAATATGACACAGGAATAAATAGTCCAAAATGGTACCAGGAGTGATATAGTCCTTTTGTTCCATCCAATAAGGATGAGGCATATGCATGTTTTGTCCTGCAGCAAACCAAGATGTGTCACCCCTTTGAAAGATTGGCTCGGGCAATAACTAGAATTCTTATCATTTGGATCCCAGGAATTGGTTTGAAGCACACCATTTATATAGAGCTAAAATACCTTCTGATGTAACAGTCCCTTAGTGAAGCTATGGCTCAGTATGAAAATTAAATGTGAAATTGATGTCACCGTGACAACTCACAGTAAAGGATGGGTTATTTCCATATAGTGGGATGGAAGACCTGGATAAGAAACTCAAATGAAAGGTGTATATATACAGTGAAACTTGCTCCTACTGTAAAGGTGACTCTAATTTTAGATAGCAACAGCAAACCTAGTTATGGTAATAGAACAAAGCATAATAAAAGGAAAGAG